CTTAATCCTTTTTAGTTTAAATCTTATTACCTTTGGCTGCTTGTTTATTTTTGTGTTGTCCAACTCCAGCAGTGGACTTCTTTGATTTGTCTGGACACATAAAAGATTATTCAATAACAACACCTAAATATCAGCAAGTAGCCAGCCACACTGTGAACCGCTTCGATGACATGAGGGAAATTAGCCGGGATGAAGAAATCTGACACCTCCTTCAACTTGCCCTTCTGTCTTCCTTGGAGGACTAGGCGCCCTGTCTCACGCATCTTTTGTCGGATATATTCATGTTTTGTGACATCATGGCCATGCTTATTAAAGAGATGTTGCCCTAATTTTAATATGATTTTCTCTTTGCGGACAACATTTGTTACCTCATCCTCATGCATTTCAAACACCATTTTCCAAAATCGTGCGTTCACACTGTCTGGAACTGGTTCAGCAATTGCGCAAAGAGACGGAACTCGAGTTTTTCCTGGCTTCATTCCTTTGACTTTCTGGCTTAGGTGGCATCTCTGCATGTGCCTCCATAATGATTTCCTCTTCAGGTACGCCGCACAGTTTACGCAGTGCAAGTAATCACCTGCTCTTACTGGAGCAATGGATTGCTGTCGGGGTATCACCATTCCTGTTCCTTCTTTAAGCACTTGAGCATTATGACAACGGTTCCCTTTATTTCTCAAAAAACTCAGCTGCAGTCTTCGCTCTTTAGAGCCTTTTGGAAATGCAACGGCTCTTGCCACCTCTGGCATATCTCTGTGCTTAGATTCTAAATGGCGTGCCATTTTACTGAATGGTTTGCTGCAGAACAAGCAGTAACACTTTTCGTTGTACAGTCTTCCTCCATCGATTTTCTTGTTCAGCATCATGACCCTCACATCAGAATGATCAGGTGAAGACGATTCTCTGCTGTCTTGTTCATCAGGTGAAGAGGATTCTTTGATGCCACTGTTAGCGAAGGAACTGGAACATGTCACACGCCTTCTTTTACATGTTTTTGACTTAACCTTTCCTTTCTTATGCGGTTTATTTTTTGCTAAACCCTCTTCCTCTGCTGAACCGTTACTGTCTGATTCTTCCTCTCTCTCCGGTATAAACTCATCCTCGCTGAGCTCTAAACTTGACAGAGATTCTTCTGCTGCATAGCCAAGCATTTTTCTGTTGAATTTGAGCTGTGAATAAAAGCTACGAGTTAGAAGTCTTGATCAGAAATGCCAAGGCCGACAACAAATTAAAACTATGAAGGCCTGTCCAAAGTGAAACATTCAAGTGTGCAGGTTTAATAAATAACAGTGCAACTTTTAATTTCCAGGCTGTACTAGCAAGAGAAGTAGTAGTGGCAGTACTAGTAGTAGTAGCATGAGTGCTGCATGAATATAATCATAAAATCATAATCATTGCCAAACGCAGACCTACCAACCTGTACACAATTTGACATCATAGTACACTGGTACACTTTGTCATTGTAAACTACACAACAAATTGGTGCCGCCTTTGTGATGATGTACATGCAGTGCGTCTAACTGCAAGAGCTGGGGGTCTCACCTACTAAACAGCAAAAGAAGAGACTAACTAATCATTATGCTCTGAATGCCAATTAAAAAATTTATCAAGTAAAAAAATGTTCAGTGTCCAATGCAAAGTGGTGCAATTTGGAATTTAAAAATTTTGCCCAAAGTTGGCAGGTCTGAAAATGGATTGCGGTACAACAATTACTTTAATATTAATTGTTTTTTTTAACATTGGAATTAAAAAACACTTTTGTATTTTTTGTATCCTTTGTCATATGTGCAGGAAAGGGACACTTTTCATTTAAGGGTCAAAGACGTAAAAGGGTTTAAGCATAAAAACAATAAGTGTAATACTGCTTTAAATTGTTGTTGTTTTTCCCCCAAAAAATTTAAAAGTTTTCTGTTTTTCTGAGCAAAAAATAAATATCATACATTTTTCCCTGATTTACAGAAGAGACCCACTAAAATGTCATTCAGTGTAACAATCTTGTCAGGCATATTTACAACAAAAATCAATTTATGACATATTAAAAGACTAATTACTTTCACCCCAAATACTAATTAGTTTCTATTCTAAAATTCGCCACTATCCTAGGTTTTGCCCATTGGTCAGTAAGATTTTTTTACTCATTTAAAACACAATAAAATTTAATATGCTCC